TATATATATATATATATATATATATTTATATATATATATATATATATATATATTTGTATATATATATATATATTTGTATATATATATATATATTTGTAGAAAGATATTGTTTAAGCCATGGAGACGTTGTGATAACATAAGTAGAGCTGGATTGTAGCTTTTGTAAGAGCATCATTTGATTTTTGTGAACAAAGGTGTCATGCTACCATTGTCCGCGAAATATACATCTAGATAAAAATCATGTCACGTGACATAGTGTTTAAGTTTAATGTTATCCGCAGGATAAATTCTGTCAGGTTAAGTACATACTCAAATGGGATAGTTATTCTATTTTTTTATGTCAAAGAAGAGTGTATTATTTAATACGTGTTATAAATATGAGAGGAAAGAAAAACAGAAGAAAAGATGTATCAATATATGATCTTAAGCACATGATAGATAAATAAGACATTTTTTATTAATATTGATTTAATTATATCATATGAATGTATTTTTGTAATGTGTTATAAATGATCTTAAGTTGTTTAAATTCGTGCTTACCACCGCATGAGGGAAGCATGTTCATTTATTAAGTAGTTTTCATAAACAATCATCACAACCCATCTCCACCAGTAAATCAATAAAATATCTATTATTGGTCCAACGTGAACAATATTTGATTCAAATAATTATACATTAAATGTCAGGTGAAGGCATGAAATAGTAAAATAATATCATATGATTTACTATTTTTATTCACTTTTACACCACCTTAATCTTTTAGATACAAATATTTGTTATATGGGCATGGTATTTAGTTTTGGTTTTTTAACCTTCTAACAGTGACTTTGTGGTTTCCAGTGATATAAATATTTTTGTATCCTCAAATTATTTGGGATAAAACGTCTACCCACTGAGCCTAATCAGAGGCATTTATGCTACATTAAAATCATATTGGTAACTATGTTATTTTAAAACAGTGCGAGGAAGATATGTAATAACTCCAAGGTGGAATGGCTGTCATTGCATCATATATGGGGTGATCTGCAAGTTTCCCTGCACAGACAATATACGAATTACGCTTTTACGGTCGTCCTCTTCTTCCGTAGACCACCCGATCCCTTTCCTTCATTATATAGCCAGTGTCTTGAAAACTTAAATCTATAAAGAAATCTTTTAGCTCTCTTCTCCTGCCTATCTGTATATATAGAGGGAGAGGCGGAAGGATTGGATAAAAGAAGTGGGAAGCATGCAGCAGCCGACGCATCCGCTGGCCCCCATGTCCACAATCCCTGTTTCTAACATCACAACGGAACAGATTCAAAAGGTATCTGTTGCCGCTTTCGTTGATTCTTTGTTCTGATTTTTTTTGGTTGGATCAATCTGCGGCTGTTGCAAGGGTTTTAATTAGTTCACTGCCAAAGACGTCACCTTGAGATTAAGGATCAGAAGGTATCCTTTCGTCATTTCCGTTAATTCTTTGTTCTGATGTTTCTTGTTTTGTTTCGTCAGTCTGCGGCTGTTGCTAGGGTTTTAATTGGTTTACTGCCGAAGACGTCATCCAGGGTTTTAGGCTCCATTTGGATTGTATAATTTATTGTGTGATGGGAAGTGAAGGGGAATGGTAAAAGAGGAGAAATTTGCTTTCTTTCCCGAATCTTCTCTTGTTTGGTTTCTGCAACGTAGAAAAGGGAAGAGAAGAGAACAACTTGGCAAATAAGGAAATAAGATATTTGGATGATCCATTTTTCTCCACTGTTCTCCAAATCTCTCCAATTTTAGAGTGAACTAAAAAGGGCGCTCAACCAGATATTCCTTGATTCTCTTGACTTCTCTCCTATTCCTCGTATCCAGTTGAGAGAATAAACTTATCTTCTCCTCAGTTCTCGCCATCCATTCAGGATGGAAATTTCAAGTTGTCGTTCAAATTTTGTGTGCTTGAAACGTATTTGATAATGAACGAACTGTGAAGCAAGAACAGGTTTCTGTTGGTTGTTGGTGGTGCAATAAGCTTAAAACTGTTGTAGTTTTTTTTAATAGCCATAGCATGCAGATGCTTTGCCAAATCCTGAATTTGACTTGGCTTGATCTTTTTTCTTTTTGCTTTGACCCACCAGTTGCCCCATGCTTGGTTTCGGTTTGTGTATTCTTATGTTTTCTGTGATTGGGTTTTGTCCAGAAACTTGTAACCTTTTTCATGGAATAAAAAGGTACAAGCTAGAGATGCAGTGTCTTCATCAGATATTTGTGGAAAACATTACTGTAATCTGGAACTAAGCTAAGAAACATAGTGATTTTATGTCAAAACAGAGAACCTCTTGTGAGCTCTAACCCGAAGCTCTTATTGGCAATATATATTTTGTACATTTGTATCTAATTTGGATTAGTGTTTTCATAAGTGCTAGACGCCAAGTTGCTAACCTGAGGAGCGAGAGGCTTGCCCGAGCGAAGAGAGATACTCTTGAATATTAAAATTCAAAAAATATATACCTGTTACTTATTTATAATTTAAAAAATATATACCGAAAAAGCGAAGCGAGGTGTTCTTGTTATCTACCTAATAGTGTACTACAGTATGCTATTATGTTGTAACTCCTTACAGTGTACCCACCTAATAGTGTTCACAAGTCCCTAACAATTTAACAAAGTTCAACAAAGTCCAGGAAATAGGAAATCATTAAACAAAGTGCTCAAGCTAGTATAGGAAATATATCAATTAACAAAGATGTTGTTACCTATAAATTGAGAACAAGGAGGAGATGAAGAAGTAACTAGTTGGCAAGAGGATCAGGAGTATGACACTGAGGAAGGCAGTAGTGCACGGTGGAGGAAGGTTGGGTTCTTCGACTTAGGCAAGGTTTGTGCGACTGTAGTGTTGCTTAGGACGAAAGAATTTGGCAACCAACAGTGGAATACAGCTAGTTGACAATGTAAGCTGTACAGGGCGGAGAAACAAAGCTTTACATGATAGTGTAGGAAGGAGGAGGCTCGTAATCAATGATGTAATCCGATGGAAGACACTGCACACGACGATGTAGAGCGAAGGAGGCTCCCGATTGACTATGTAAGCCAAAGGAAGACATTGCACACGTCGGCATAGTGTCACGAACTTAGTTGGTTTTGCCTAAGTCGTGCGGCACCCTTGTGTGTTTGTCCGCAAAGGTCAGCCTCCCGAAACCTCTTATTGTCCCTTAGGACTTACAAAAGATAAAACGGGTTAAAGAAAGTGTTTCACTCAGGATCCACAAGCAATCATTTTAGAAACCACTTTATAGCCAATGCAAATTACAAACATAGACTTCACAAGCTCTGAATGGCCGCACAACAAAGGGTCCAAAATGATCCACTACAAACCGAAGTGCCCATATAACACAACCTTTGTTTACAAGCCTAAAACGACTACCAAAGCCAACGAAAATGAGGCTGTTAAGCTTACTACTAGCCCTTTACATGCTGTGCAAAGCATGAACAAAATCGAAAGACACACACATACGTGAGCATTACACCAAACACCTCATTTATAATTTTGTCCGTGACATTCTCCCTCACTTATTCCTTCGATGTCCTCGTCGAAGCTTTTGCAAACACTGCATCTCCTCACCTTTGCTGAGTCTTCAATCTTCTGCTCCAACTGTAATGCGCCTCTTGGCTCCCAACTACACTCTGCCACTGTCGTTGAGTAGTCAAACTTTGATCCGTCATACTACTTTAACTCGCCAATGACTCTAACTTTGATGTGGGGTCGGTTGAGTTGCGTTAATCCTTGTTGGTTCTTGCGGATTCCTTAAATGAAGGAAAAGACCATCCTTGGTATGCACTAGTCTCTCAAATGCCTCGTGTCGTTTGAACTAGGTGGATGTTTGTTGGAGTTTTAACGAGCATCGTCTCGCAAACTTTGAAGTTTTTGGGTCTTTCCTCCGTAAAATTTGCCCATCGATTCTCTTTCTACTTAGTTGTCACTTCCAAGTAGGTTCGCATCACTTTCTTTTTCGATTGGCATTCTGTTGGAAAATAAAACGGACAATCTATTATCAGTAGCACCGATCACCATTAGTGAATATTTGATAACTATTTTCTTCTCTTAGGTTTCTTCGAAGGGTCTTTGAACCTATGCAGAGCTCCTCTACTTGATAGATAAGAGAATTGGGATACCCGATTTTGCCCATTCCCTTAAGAGTTGAGAAGGCAAAGGTTACTTGACTTCGCCCGCCTCCTTGAGGGTTGTACTTCATGCATTGAGCTGGTTACTAGCCATCATCCGCTCTTTGCTCACACTTCTGAAGCACTCAAAGTGTTTGCACTCCTTGCATTAAGTTAGCTACTATGATTCACCTTCTCAATGCCATCAAACTTCTTGAATGCAAGAAATTTTCACCCCAACTTAGAGCAAGTCTCTAATAGTTTTGGTCACCTCTGGGATTGTACCATCTTCTCCATCATCTCTGTCGCCTACTCCTCTGAGTAGCAAAGGTACAACACCACATACTACCTACTTCGTTCCTTGGTTGAGCACTCTTGCATCGACCCGAAATCCTCTACCTTCGGTTATTTTGATGAAAAGCTCGTTGACACTGGTCTTACAAAGTTGCCCGGCCTCTACCCTTCAGTCTTGTCTCGGTACTTGGAGTTCCGTAGAGTCATCAATCCATGAGAACAAGGGATTGATGACTCCACGGAGGTCCTACATTTGCGGTACCATGGTTTTGCCATGCCTATGACTCTATTATTCGTCGCCTCTCATCTGCGTCCCTTTCTTCGCGATCGGTAGATCAGCCTCAGCACTTTGGCACTTCTCTGAGTCCATCTCCATTCTAATTGATGCTTGGTTTTGGGTAGCTAAGTCCCTTTGGACTCGTCGTCGCTTTCTCGTCCCTTTTGACCACTTGCTTCAACACCTCTGTATTTTTCAAACAGTTCCCTTGATCAATGGAAAGATAGACAGAAACTTCCATGCATGGCCTCCGCCATCATGTTGTAGGGCTCATGTCGATTCTGTTCTCCTTAGCTTCCTTGATAGCAACGTTCGCTTACTCGGCCTTGTCCTCTGACTTGCCGGGCTCCCTTAAGTGAATATGAGCTCTGGAGTAGTCCAACTCTCTAACCGCTCCAATCATTAGTACTTGCATTCGAAATTCTTCCTTGGTGGTACACAGCCCCCATATACTGATGACCAAGGCTTTCATCCGATGCAAAACTCGATGCACGCACGAAAGACCCGCCTCTACGGTACCATGGCATTCACTCCTCGAATCCATAGTCCTTCTTGCTTTCGTGTTGTTCACCGAAACAAAGCTCCTAGTAGCTCCCGATCATACCTCCGTATGATCTAGTCCCTTGTAGGACTAGTTTCGTGTGTATCGTATTGCCTCGAATTGTTCCACCATGATTCGTTGCACTATGTCGCCTCCTGGTGACATCTCTATTGCATTCTGATCATTGTGGGATGAACTCGGATTGCGATCCCTCCATGTGTGGCCTCTACTAGCACATCACAAGGCCTCTTCCACCTTCGATTGTGTATGCTCCTTTGGCAATTGACCTTCGTCCACCCATTCTCGGGTCACACCCAGATAAAGTACAGCTCTAGGATAGTCCGTCGCCTAGCAACTCCCGAAGTCCACTGACTTCGTTTAAATTATTGCACCATTATTTGAACCTTGGTCCTCTGCCTCTCTCCCCCCCCCCCCCTCACAGCACAATCTTCACTACGGACCACTTCCTTCATGGTAACTCGAATGGCAGCACTGTGGCATATTCTTCAAGAGTACTCGCCTCCACGTCCTTTTGCCCCTTGCCAAGGCCTTATGGCCCCAACTTTCCCTCCGCAAGTTGAGCCGCCTTGGTTTCTTCGTCAAATGCTTCTTCAAGATAAGGTGCATATGACTTGAAGCTCCCTTCGTTTTTGGCACCATGCAAGATAAGTCTGCTCCATCAGAATGAGGGACCCATGGAATGATATGATCCCGCTCTTGCCTCTACAAAAGTTTATGTCCTTGACCTCTGTCCAAGGAAAGCTTCATGCTTTCGCTCCATGTTCTATCTTCTATGTTGACTCTTTTCATGTGGCTTGGGTACTTCACCAAGTTATACCCAAGTTGCTCCACTCGATTTGCATTGAGTTGATGGTGGCCCTTGCGCCCACCACTCCACGGGTCAGCCCTCCTTTGAGTCTGATTTTTATATCGGCTCCAAATGTGTTTTTATTTTGTATTGTCTTAGGTCGCTCCTCCACTTGATCTTGAAATGCATCCACCAATGCGTTACCTCATACAAGATCATGTGACGACTCCTCGCCGCTCGCTTGGTCCGTTGAACTTTATGGAGTTGTTGTCTTGAGGTACTCCTCCTCAACATGTGCGGTCCATTGCATATGAGTCTTTCTCTAGAGCGTTGGGACTTATCTCTCTTGGATATTTGTCCCGTTAGACCAACTTCTCTCTTTGTATCCTTCTCTTTGGATGTTTTGGAGACCACCATCCCCTTGGACTACTTCACCTTACTGAACAAACTGTGCATTGTTCTGCCCCCGCAAAAGCACTTGCTAGATTGCGACTCTTTGTCAATACAACTCCCATTAAACTCCTCAAGGCCTAGTAATATGTTGAACTTGCTGTACACTTCAGCCTCCGATGGATATATCCTTCTCATGCCGAAGAAAAAGTTTCAATGCTCCATGGCACTGAGTTTCGATCGCTTTGGGATGGCCACAAACATTCCATCGTCCGCATACAAGCCCTTGTATGGTACCGAATTCTTCGAGTTAACAATTCCCCTCACCTCTATGAGCTTTGTATAACTCTTTCGGTTGCTGAGCAACCCATCTCATTTTGCACGATCTCATCTTTTACCAAGCACCCCACTTGCCTTAAGCACTATCAAGTTTGGTTGCCAACGTCGAGCCGTAACTCGAACTCAGCCATCCTAACCTTTGTGCGCTATGCATTCTTCTCAGGTTGCTTGTTCTTGTGGTATCTCTCATGCGAACGGTTGGCTATTCCTCTGAATGTCAATCTCACATGCCTGCTCCTCTGAGCGATTCCTTTCCCCTACATCTCCATACCCGTTTCCCTCAAACGGTCGCGTGTGCTGGCTGTGCTCAATGCAGCCCACTAGGTCCCCCACATTTGCATGTCTAGTGTTTCTGTGTGCTTGTTTCGCTCTGATACCAAATGTCACGAACTTAGCTGGTTTTGCCTAAGTCGTGTGGCACCCTTATGTGTCCGTCTACAAAGGTCAGTCTCCCCGAAATCTCCTATGGTCCCTTAGGACCTACAAAAGAGAAATCAGGTTAGAAAAAGCGTTTCACTCAGGATCCACAAGCAACCATTTCAGCAAATACTTCATAGTAAATGCAAATTACAAACATAGATTTTACAAGCTCTGAACGGTTGCACAACAAAGGGTCCAAAATGATCAACTATTGACCGAAGTGCCCACATGACAACCTTTGTTTATAAGCCCAAAACAGCCACCAAAGGCAACCAAAATGAGGTTGCTAAGTCTATTATCAGCCCTTTACATGCTGTGCAAAGCATGAACAAAACCGAAAGACACGAACATACGTGAGCATTATATCAAACGCCATGTTTATAATTTTGTCCGTGACAATAGGGTGTAGGCTCGCAGTCAATGATGTAAACCGAAGAAGATGCTGCATACGTTAGCAGTGAGCAAAGGAGGCTCACGATATGGTTTTTTTCATTGGGTTCTTCACCGGATCAGGCATGGAGGGGGGGAGAGGAGGAGGTGGGAGAGTAAGTTTTTATTAGTTGTTTCATTTAAACCAACTAATTCCAATTGATTGAACCCAATCAAAGTCCAAATTGAACCCATGCTTTATTTGGCTCGGGCACATGCCTAAGTCGCCCAGTGCCTAGCTCAGCTGCATGCCCGAGTGGTGCCTCATTGAATTGCCTTGCATGGTCACCTAAGCGAGTGCTCAAGCACCAATTGAAAACACTGATTTGGATTGTCTTTTGTAGTCTTTTTATATGCTTAGTTTTAGCCTTATGTACCAAGTGTGTACTTCTTTAATACTGCGATTCTGAAGGGCTCCTAAGATGTCCCACTTCATTAGGTTAGCTCAGCTTCTGCCCTTCAATTTCTGTCTTTGTCCAATAGCAACCAAAGCTTGTGATCATTTTCATCTGAATCATATAATCTATTGAATGGCTTCTTTTTGGTCCTTTTACCACCATATGAAGAGGACAGTAATTGGACTTTGCTGAAGCTTGCATATTTGGAAGCTGTAGGGGGATTATTATGGTATATAAGGCTAAATGGATCTTCAACTACTTGGCTTGGCTTAAACATTTTGGTCCTAATGGTTTAATGTTCTAGTCAGTAAGTATATCAGGCCAAGTTGTGATAAAATTGTCTTCTTTACTTGTTCTATCCTATTTTAGTAGGTCTTTTATTGTTTCTGTCACTCACTTTCTATGAACAAATCATAATGATCATTTATTGAAATAACATTATAGTAAAGAAAATTTTCAGATTAAATTTGATTCAGGATCATTGTTTGTTAGATTCAAACAGATCAGGAACAGGTTGGATCAATCATTTTGCTTTGTTGTGTATTTTTGGGGTAGTTTCTGAAATTGTTTGAAGTAGGACTTTTTACAGTTCTAGTTTTAGACAATATTGCATTATGACTTACAAAAACTTTAGTAAGTTAGGATATGATGATTTTTTAAATCATTTGGTTTATGATCTGACGCAGCACTTTTGGCTTTTTTCTGATATCAAAGTGCAGCAGGGTTCAATTTTTTATTTTACTGAAAGTTTTCTACCTTGAAAATGAGATTTTGTTTTCTTCTGCCACCTGACATTGAATATGATAAAATAGATACAGTTTACCTCTTCCATATGTTATGCTGTTTTATGTATGAATTAGCCTCTTCCATATGTTGATGAGAGGCTAATTCATTAGTCTGGATTCTGGTGCTGGAGGTATTAACAATTTTCTCTTGTTTTGTTTCTTTTTTTCATTTTGGTTTCACTCAATAAATTTAGTAGGATCCTTCTAAAACTGTAACATCTTTATCCCTAGTTATTAGCTTTAAAAAGTAGTTTTGCCAGACAAACCTTTCTTCTAAACATTTTGCTACTTAATGAAAATCCATCAACTTCAGACCTTAGATTGCCTAGACAATCTAAGGTAAGCAGTTGCCAAATTTTCGAAAATCCAGCAAACTTATAACCTTATGCTGCAGTCCTGGTTCTTGGGATCTATAATTTTAAGACCTTAGATTTGTCTTACATCTAATTTAGGTAATGAAGTTTTCTGTGGTGGATGATATAGCATCACATGATAGTGTTTGGTGAAACATGTTTCTTCACCAAAAAAAGATGGCTGTCTTATTTTTGAATTGGTACCTAACCATCGTATTTGTGTAACGGCAATGTGCTTGTTTTTGCCTCAGATTTTATCACAAGATTTTTCTTTTTCTTCAACATATTTTGGATAGAGAACTGCAACCTTGGTTATATGTAGCCTTCTTCTGTTCTTGCATTTAGTTAGATCCGTGAAAGTTGATTGAGGTTAATCTGTTTCCACAATCTTTTGTTTCTTGCTTTGATGCAGTACCTGGATGAAAACAAGCAACTTATTTTAGCAATATTGGAAAATCAGAATTTGGGAAAGCTAGCTGAATGTGCTCAGTAAGTTGACTACTGAACTTCATTTTTTGTAGTCGCAGTTTTTTAGCAGGCTCATTTCTTTGTCCTGTCTCTGTTGCATATCTGTCAAAATAAAACTGTCAATATAATGATCTACCATATGCAATCCATTTCCCACCCCTATCAAGATGTGAGCATTCTTGTGGTAGACGCACCTAGATCTGATTTTATGATAAGCCTTTGTTAGTGTTTCCTTTTTTCATTGACGAGAACATTGTTTACCCGAGTCTGCATTGCAGTTGTAGTTCTGCTGATACTTCTGATGCTTGATTGCTGAATCAGAGCTGTTACGGAGCTGACTAAAAATCTCTTTACGACTTTAGTTTCTTTGTTCTGTAATCTGATGGAGCAACATAACCATGTTAGATCTGTGCAGAACTTGAAACCATATCTGATATGGAACCATAGGGAACTTGAACTCAGGAATATACTTAGGTTGAATGACATTCAGTATGCATATTATATATAAGGTCAGGTATGGGTTCAGGATCCATGCCCAAACTAGTACCGTTTTGATTGATCCATTAACACTTATAAAGGCAATCTCCCACCCACCCACCCACCCCTTTCCTCTCTATTCACAACCTAGCTGTCAACAATTTTTCTCACATTATATCACAAAGTAGTACATGTTAGTTCTATTTTTTTGTTTTTATTTTAAATTTTTTTTGGCTGATGCAACTTTGCATCTGATCCCCACGCTACGTCACCATCCTCGCAGGCAAGGGACGGGTATTAACTGATGGTAATGCTAATAATGCATGCATAATTTTAGTATCTGGAATTTTTTTGGATGATAAATATTTAAAAAAATAGAAAGTGCATGTATTTTTCTTTAATCTATGGACATAAATATCAGTAAACTGTTATGGATCAGGTATCAAGCCCAGCTTCAAAAAAATCTTTTGTACCTGGCTGCAATTGCGGATGCCCAACCTAATGCACCTGCTGTACGTCCTCAGGTCAGTTTGATACCATTTTCTGGAAACTCATCTTTTACTGCTTTGCATTATCTGCTCATCCTTTCCATTACGACTGATATATTTTTTTATTAACAGATGATGATGCACGGCTCAATACCACAGGCAGGCCATTACATTCAGCAGGCACCGGTTTTCCCTCCCGGAGCTCCCCCACAATATAACCCACAACAAATGCAAGAGCAGCAGATGCACCAATTCCAAGGAATGGTGTTCCCAGGGCAGGTGGCCATGAGACCGGGGGCAGTCAATGGTATTCACAACATGCAAACTGAGCCACGTCCAAGGACTGGCACTTCTAGCAGCGCAGTTGATAGACGTGGGAATAAGCAAGATGCAAATGCTGGTGAGGTGGCTGCTGCCGACAGCCATCGGAGCTCAGGATCTGAGCATGGCAGTGGGGATGCTGACCAACTGCATGTCAAAAGGCCAGAGGAGGCTAAAATGTCATGAAACTTGTATTTAAAGAACTTAGCGCAAATTACTGGTGACTTTTATATGCGAGAATCTTTATGGCCCTTCTCATGATATACGAATGGCTCTACGTCCGAATCTTAAATGTCACCCTCACCTAGTCGAGCATCGCTTGGCTTTTGTGGCAACCACAGAAAATTTTATCATGGCAATTATATAGCATGATCCATCTTCAGTAATATTGAACTTTTCTTTTCCAAAAATAAAAACTTTATTTAAGAGTTCATAGTAAGTACTACGAAAAGATCTAAGTAGATAGATCTTCAGTCAATATAGAACAAATATCTAGAGGAAAATAATCTTCCCTGAGAAAAAGGTCTGTTCTGAGGATCCTAATTTGAGTGTTTGATTACATTCATGAAAGCAATATAAAAGTATAAAAGAGATAAATTGCTTTATATGTTACAACCATGAATTATCTATATTATACAAAATATTAAACATATATGTGGCTCATAATCTAATTGATGAGGTGTATTAAAAATAATGATTATGTTCTAATCAAATATTTAAATATCAATATTTTTGTACATCCAAGATGCCTTTCTAGAGATCCTCTCTTATCTCTCGAGGCTGCGATGTTTTTGTGAACGCAACTTCATTACGGGAAGTAGGATAAAGAGGTAAAAGAGGGCTAGCTCATTTCAAGGATCGGAGGAAGTAGGATAAAGAGGTAAAGAGGGCTAGCTCATTGCAAGGATCGGAGATGACAACAGCATCAAAGTATCGAGGTATTTCGACTTTATATGAGTATGCCAAATAAAGGTATGCACATCAATTCCTAGATCTAAGATATATTCGATTTCAATCCTTAGTATAAATATTTTTCGTATTATAGAAATTCAACATGAGCATGTTGAGTAAAAATATGCACATCAATCCTCATATCTAAGATTTGTTAGATTTTAATCCTTGGCATAAATATTTTTTGCATTATAAATATTTTCTAATAATTGGTATTAGAGCCATAGATTAATAAAATTTAATTATCTTAAATTATAAAATAATTTGTATCTAATTATGTGATTAAATTTATTATTGTTTCAATCTCAAATTAATCCATGATGTCTTATTTCATAGGTGAATTCTCCAAAAAAAAAAAAAAAAGCTCTTAACTTTGGCTTTTTGCCTGTGCCCTTACTTACAAAATTATTTAAATAGTAGCGATACTTTTTAAAAAGATAATGTTAACCTTGAAAATTCACTTGGGTTCATATAGGATTAAACCAGATTAAAAAATCAATTTAACTTGAACCGATTTTTTATCATATACTATATATCTTTGTTTCACATTTACCAATCCATATGATCTATACCGTTTGACCTTTTATCTTTGGTCGCCCTTGTTCTATCACCATTCCATAGTGTACTCCAGAGCTTCCAAATATCATCGACTTCGTATCTCATTGAGTTTATGGTCGAGTTTCGTCACTAGCAACACTAAGTCACTTGAGCTTCTATTCCATCATTGTCGTAAAATGGGTTTTAGGGTTTGAGCCTTTCTAATAGAGTTTCAATATTTTATTTAAGGTATATCTCTATTTTTGTAAAAATATTTGCTAGAAAATCTAAACTTTTGGTTTATTATATAGCTAGTGTTCTAGGGTTGCACTGATGTTTATTATTCTGAATAGCATTATAAAAACTTGTTATTTTACAACCAATATTTTGAGCATTTTTTATAAAAATAAAATATTTTTCCAAAATAATGTGATATTTTTGCCTTTTTTATTTCATTTCTAACAAGTTATAATTCATCCATGCAATATTTTTTCACATTTGAACTTCTAAATAGGTCAACAATATATATAGAAAATTTGGCTCAAAAAAATATTTGTCTAATAGGTGATGCACTATTATTGAGGAAAATTTAAAAATAGTGCATCACATAGATGCACTATTTAAAATGATCTGAAATTTTTATTTTTAGGCAAGCTTTAAATAGAACACTTATGGTCATATGTCATTGGTTTCCATTTTAGAATATTTTTTGATATTTTTATAAATTTTTGGGGATTTGAACAATTTGTCAATTTTCTAGTTTCTTAATTTTTATATTTCTAACAAATTGTAATGCATCCATGCAATATTTTTTCACATGAGCTTCTAAATAAGTCAATATAAAAAATTCAAATTAAAAAATCCTAATAGGTAATGAATTGTTTTTTAGAAAATAAAAATAAAAAATAGTGATCACATAGATGCACTTTTCAAAAAGATCTGAAATTTTTAAGAAAGCTTAGAATAGGACACCTGCAGATATATGTCACTGGTTTTCCATCTTAGAGATTTTTTTAATTTTTTTATGAAATTTTGAGCATTTGAACAATGTATCATTTTTTATTTTTCTCCTTAATTTTCATATTTTTAATAAATTATAATACATTCATGTAATATTTTTTCACATTTGAGCTTCTAAATAGGTCAACAATATATATACAAAAAATTTGGTCTAGAAAAAAAATTTCCTAATAGGTGATGCACTATTTTTGAAAAAAATTAAAAATAGTGCATCTTATAGTTGCACTATTCAAACTAAACTAAAATTTTTAGACAAGTTTTGAATAGGACACTTATGGATATATATATCACTGGTTTTTTGTTTTAATTTTTTTTTTATCAATTTATCAATTTTTGAGCATCTAAACGGTGTGTCAGTTTTTTATTTTCTTCTTTTTTATATATTTCTAACAAATTATAATACATGATTTCTAAAAATATCCCCTTAGATAACTAAACTACTAGTTTATCGTCCAACACAATGACTTTTGGACCACCGATGCACGAAGGCTTTGTTGACCAATTCGAGTTGAGATGATACAATGCAGGTTTAACATTTTTGACTTTGTTAAGGAGACATGCAAAGTGGCTAGTACATTATACGGTAAGTTACTTTTGTTAGGGCAACTCGCGGAGAGTGAATTAGTAGTTTCCTAAAATCACATTGATTCAAAACTTTAAACTTAAAATGTTTACAAGAGTAGTATTAAGTAGATAAAGCAATTAAAAAATAAGTAAACAAGTAGAGAAAGAGACTCTAAATCCTAAGAGAGTTTTTACTCTCGATTCCTCTACACTCGAGGCCACCAGTTTTTACTACGGTCTTCTTTCAATGGGCGAAGATCAATTACCCTTTTACACTCTTTCTCCTTTTCACAAGCTCAGTAGAGAACCTTTACACCTCTCTTTTAGGCCTCACTAAAACTTGTAACTCTAGGAGGAAGAGACTCTAAATCCTAAGAGAGTTTTCAATTTTTCTCAAGTATTATTTTTCCTCTTTCAACTCAATTTCATGCTTTACCAAGCAGAAATAATTTGGTATTTATAAACCATAATTAGCTTCAAAAATAGAGTCAAAAAATATCTTATCCCGAGTTTCTTAGGTCCTGACGGTACCATTGCCTATGTTGGGCGGTACTAGAGTCTGCAGCACTAACACTAAGCGGTACACCAGAGCCTGCAGCACTAACACTGAGCGGCACCACCGCTCCGTCTAGCGGTACCACCGTCTGACACAATTTGGGAGACTGTGTCTAGGTGGTACTATAGGGAAATCTAAGGGGGGCAACATCACATGTGCAGCGAAAGAACATAAAATCAAAATCCTCAAATTTTTCATCGATATATTCATCGTCGTACGAAGATTGATGCGTAAAAATTACGAAACTTAAAACTGCGTATATGAAAGATTGTGTTACCTAGGGAGATAATATATTCCTGAATTATTGTAGATCTCTAGGAGAGGGTGAAGGAGGTCAAGCATCTTCCTCTCTGGTGGTGATCCACACAACAAGGTTACGACTTTAGGCCTACTATCTGAGGAGGAGAAGGAGAGGAGAATAGGAGATGGCAACCAAAAAGGCTATAGCCTATGAACTATTGGTTCCCTCCTATTTATAAAGGTCCGCTATCAACTTAACCCTAATAGATCCTGCCTTATTGGATATTGGATCTTCATCCAACTACCCAAGCCACTTAGATTAATTGATCTCTATCCAATAATCTCTCATTGACTCTTATTGGATCTCATTCATATAATCCAATAATTCAGAGACTTATTGGATATCCAATAAGATAGGGGCTCTGGCGGATATCTCATATTTGAACCTCTGCTCATCGCAATGCCTACCATATGTGTGTGTCCCTCTAGACCCAATATCGAGCTGGCCATGAGTCATACCTGTCAGAACTCCTTCTAGCTCAGTAAATTTTTATCTATATAATAATTCACTCGACTTATCAACTACGGATGTACTAGGCCACTATTGAATCTCGGATTTTGATGATGAAGTTAATTTTCATTTGTTGTCTAATCTATGTGTTGAGATAAGTGTGCAGGATTAACTACGATGAAAGTTAGACAAGCAGCAGGAGTTGCGCCGGAGTCAAGTTCATGATCACGTTGGGAGTTCGAGAGTTCGACGGAAGTTCGGACGATCGTCGGAGGTTCTGCGAGAACAGATCCGAGAAGTCCAGAAGCTTGCCAAGCGAAGCTCGTCAGAACTCGCCAAGTGGATCATCGCAAAGTCCAGGAGTTTGCCGGAAGTCCGCAGGAGCATCACCGAGGGTTCATCGGATGATCGACGGAAGTTCGCCGGAAACTCGTCGGAAGAAGCGATTGACGCACCGAAGCAAAGCTGCAAAAATTGTATTAGATCTAATCGTAGTTAGCACGTTGATTAAGTTGGAAAATGGGAGGTGATCCCATTAGCTTAATCTTGGGGCAATTGGGCCCCTGAAAGACTGAAATTGGGCCGAATGGAGCTAACCATTCGGACCCTGATTGCACCAGGAGGTGCAACCGCCTAGGCTAGGAGGTGGCACCGCCTGGGCTAAGCCTCCCAGCGAGACTGGGCGGTGCAACCGCCCCAGCCAGGAGGTGGCACCGCCTGAGCTCAGTCTTCGAGCTCTGGCAGAGAGGTGCAACCGCCTCAATCAAGAGGTGGCACCGCCTGGGGCTCAGTCTCCGAGCCAGACTCAAGAGGTGCAACCGCCTGGGCTCAGTCTTCGAGCTCTGCCAGGCGGTGCAACCTCTCCAGTCAGGAGGTGCAACC